CGGGGTTTCACCGTGTTGACCAGGATGGTCTCGATCTCTTGACCTTGTGATCCACCCGCCTCGGCCTCCCAAAGTGCTGGGATTACAGGCTTGAGCCACCGCGCCCGGCCCCAACTTCATTCTTTTACATGTGGATATCCACTGTTCTCAGTGCCATTTGGTGAAGAGACTATCCTTTCTGCATAGCATAACCTTGGTACCCTTGTGGGAGATCATTTGATCATATATGGAGAGGAGTTACTTCTGGGCTCTGTATTCTGTTTCATTGGTCTGTATGTCTGTACCATATTTTTTTGATTTCTGTAGCTTTGAAATATGTTTTGATGTCAGGAAGTGTGAGGACTCCACCTTTGTGTGTGTGGGTAGGTTTTGTTGTTGGTTGGTTTTTGTAAATAATGGAGTCTCACTGTGTTGCTCAGGCTGGTCTCAAGCGATTCTCCCACCTTGGCCTCCCAAAGTGCTGGGATTAGAGGTGGGAGCCACTGCCCCTGACCCAGCTTTATTTTTCCTTCCCATGATTGTGTTGACTATTCATGGTCCTTTCAGATTCCATATGAATTTTAGGACATTTTTTCTATGTCTGCAAAAAAATACCTGGATTTTGATAGGATTGCATTGAATCTGTAGTTCACTTTTAGTAGTAGGGACATTTTAACAATATTAAGTGTTCTATTCCACAAACACAGGATGCCTTTCCAATTATTTGTGTTTTCTTTAATTTCTTTCAGCAATATTTTGTAGTTTTCTGTATGAAAGTCTTTCAACCCTTCGGTTAAGTTTATTTCTAAGTATTTTATTATTTTTGATGCTATTATAAGTGGGACTGTTTTCCTAATTTTCTTTTTGAATTGTTCATCATGTATAGAAACACAACTAATTTTTGTGCATTGGTTTTGTATTCTGCAACTTTGCTGTATTTGTTTATTAGTTTTAAATTTTATTTTATTTTTTTGAGATGGAGTTTTGCTCTGTTGCCCAGGTTGGAGTGCAGTGGTGTGATCTTGGCTCACTGCAACCTCCGCCCCAGGTTCAAGTGATTCATCAGCCTCAGCCTCCTGAGTAGCTGAAATTACAGGCATGTGCTACCATGCCTAGCTAATTTTTGTATTTTTAATAGAGAGAAGGTTTTGCCATCTTGGCCAGGCTGGTTTCAAACTCCTGAACTCAAAGTGATCCACCCACCTCGGCCTCCCAAAGTGCTGGGATGATAGGCATGAGCCACCATGCCTGGCCTAAAAATTCTATGTGGAATCTTTAGGGTTTTCTACATATCAGATCATGTCATCTGTAAACAGAGATAAATTTCCTGCTTCTTTTCCAGTTTGGATGCCTTTTATTTCTTTTTCTTGCCTAACTGCTCTGGCTAGAACTTCTGGTATTATGATGAATAAAAGTGATGAGAGCAGACATCTTGCCTTTTTCCTGACGATGGAGGGAAAGCTTCCAGTCTTTCACCATTGGGTATAATGCTCACTGTAGGCTTTTCATATATGGCCTTTATTCTTTTGGGATAATTTCCTTCTATTTCTAGTTTGTTGAGCGTATTACCACTTGACCAGACCATTGGAATCGTTAAGTAGCAGGTCTTCCTGCCCCTAAATGCTCTCTTATGTCTCCAAGCTGCAGCAAGTGTAGAAAGAGCCTGGAGCTTTAGAGCCAACCACCGTGAGAGAAGCTGGGGTGTAGGCAGTGGGCAAGTAGCAGAAGGCCTAATGCTTTTCCCTCTAGGGACAAAGAAGAAAAAGGACTATGGGGGCAGAGGGACCTCTTTCCTCCCGTCCCACAGACTCCTCCCCTTTGGCCAAGCCTCTCAGGCTGTTCCCTAGCCCCGCCCACAGCCCCTGAGACCACGCCCCAGGCCTCTCTTAGCCCGGTCCCATAGCCCCGCACACTGCACCCTCTTCCCCCACCCCAAATCCTGCCACGTAGGGGGTCAAGGTGGAGAATACCATGTTACTTACTTTCAGCGCCCTGGGAAGAGGATGAGATCCGCAGGGACCGAGTGGAGCCCCAGAGCGTGTCCCTGTCGTGGCGGGAGCCCATCCCTGCCGGAGCCCCTGGGGCGAATGGCACGGAGTACGAGATCCGATACTACGAGAAGGTGAGTACGTGTCTGGGAGGGACCTGGAGCCTGGCCCGCACCTGTCCCCCACCCCGGGCTTCTGGTTCTTCAGGCCGTCCTCCCAGCAAAAGCCCTTGTTACTGCCTTTGTAAACATAACCGCCCTCTCCTAGGGGCTCCAGGCTGGAGTCTCACCTTCCCCGGACTCCTGCTCTTCCTCTCTCCGCTCAGATCTGTCTCCATCACCAACCATTTCCATTGTTCGCACGTCACCTAGTATTTCAGTTGACAAAGAGATTTCTCTGGGGCTTGGTCCAGATTTTGTGTGGCTAAATCTTATACGTACCATTTGTAGAGCCCTTGTAAAGAAAAAGGACACAGAAAGATCATATCATTTCTAATTTTACAAAAATGCGTGCCCGTGGAGCACATTGCTAGGTGTGGTGGTGTGCTGGTAGATGTTTAGCAGCCAGCTTTCCAGAACAATAAATGTATGAGTAGTTATAATTTTAGTGATACAAAAAATGTGTAGCACAGCATTTACGGTGATAATAAAATATATACAGAACCCTTGATTGTGAACTCCATATAGCCAATTGATCCCCATAGGATACTTGTGCTGATTTTTGCTGACCTCTTGTGTCTGTTGTCAATCTGTGGCTGCAGCTTAGCTGTGATGCAACAAATGGAGTCACATTCCAATCTGCTCATTTCCCCATAAGTTTATTATCTTTTTATTTATTTTTTTATTTTAAAACAGAGTTTTGTTCTTGTTGCCCAGGCTGGAGTGCAGTGGCATGATCTCAGCTCACTGCAACCTCTGCCTCCTGGGTTCAAGCGATTCTCCTGCCTCAGCCTCCCAAGTAGCTGGGATTAGACGCCAGCCACTACATCCGGCTAATTTTTGTATATTTAGTAGTGATGGGGTTTCATCACGTTGGCCAGGCTGGTCTCAAACTCCTGACCTCAGGTGATCCACCCGCCTCAGCCTCCCAAAGTGCTGGCATTACAGGCATGAGCCATTGTGCCTGGCCAATTTATTTTCTTTAAATCTATATGTAAGCTACTGTTAAACTGTTTCTCACCTTGGTACAAATTATATTCACTAAAGTGAAACCTCTTTCAGCTTCTACCTGTGTCAGAACTTCACTCACTCCTCAACAACATGAGGGACTTCTTTGCTGAATCAGATAATAGATTTTGAATACTAGAAGTCTGTTGAGAGCTGTGAGTGTTGGGGCTGAGCGGGAAGGAGGAGAGAGTCCTGAGTCACTGCTGGGTGTCTGACCTGGGTAACCCAGAGTATGGGGTACCACTGACTGAGATGAGAAGCATTGAGTTGAAAGGGCAGGCTTGGGGCAAGATGATGAACCTGGTTTTGCTCATGTAGCATTCAGGGGGCCTGTGGGAGACCTAGGTGGACTTACAGGTCTGAAGCTCAAGGGAGAGGCCTGGCCTGGAGAGAGAGAGAGAGAGAAAGAGAGAGAGAGAGATTGTGGGTTCTCAGCATAGAGACAGTAGCTGTAGCCAGGTGATTGGAGGAGAAGAACAAGGAGGGCACTGAGAAGAGTGGCCAGGACAAAGCCCTGAGGAATGCTGATATTTAGGGGACAGCATCAAAGGACGCTGGGAAGGGGCTAGGTATGCAGCAGGTGCTTAGAAAGGACTCACTGAATGGACATTGGGAATCAGGGCATAGACAAGAGTCCCAAGTCTGAGCTGGATGGATGCTCCCAGGCCATTAGCCAGGGAGTGTGAATTTGTTGGGCATGAAAACCCTCAAAAACAGGAGCAAGGGCCAGGCTCAGTGGCTGTCGCCTGTAATCCCAGCACTTTGGGAGGCCAGGCAGGAGGATGGCTTGAGGACAGACGTTCAAGAGCAGCCTGGGCAATAAAGTGAGACCCCTACCTTTACAAAAAAGAAATTACCCAGCATGGTGGTGTGCGCCTGTGGTCCCAGCAACTTGGGATGCTGAAGCAGGAGGATTGCTTGAGCCCAGGCAGCCAAGGCTGCAGGGAGCAGTGATTGCACCACTGCACTCCAGCCTGGGCAACAGAGCAAGACCCTGTCTCAAGAAAACCCACCAAAACCCCAAAACAATAAAAAAGAAAGAACAAGGCCAGGAGTGGTGGTTCATGCCTGTAATCCCAGCACTTTGGGTGGCCAAGGTGGTGGATCACCTTAGGTCAGGAGTTTGAGACTAGGCTGTCCAACATGGCGAAACCCATGGTGGCCGGCGCCTGTAATCCCAGCTCCTCGGGAGGCTGAGGCAGGGAGAATTACTTGAACCCAGGAGTCGGAGGTTGCAGTGAGCTGAGATTGGACCACTGCACTCCAGCCTGGGTGACACAGCGAGACTCCATCTCAAAAAAA